TGGTGCTGCTCAAGAGGAAGGAAGAGGCCGGGCGCGGTGGCTCCCGCCTGTCATCCGAGCACTTTAGGGGGCTGAGGAGGGCAAATCACTTGAGCCCAGGCATTCAAGAGCAGCCTGGGCAAGGTAGAGACCCTGTCTCTACAATCAGTCAATCAGAAGGCGGAGGAAAGAGGAATGGCAGAAATGCTTCAGGAGCCAGTGTCCAGTGAGCAGAGGCCTCCCCAGGGTTGAGTAGTCCCCGCCCAGGAGGGCCCGTCTCAGCACCTGTTTTTAGATGCACATCTGCCTCAGCCTTTGAGATGCATGCATTTGTTAAGCAGGGGAATCCATAGTCATTAAACCAAGGTGCCAGTCTGGGGCCCAGCTTTCAGTGAAGCATCAGTGGCTTTTTCAGTCCCATTATAGCAACTGTGAGGAAGGCCCCACACCCCCAGGGGCCTAATTCTCCAGGCCAGGACCAGATCATTTCTTCCTTCTCAGAATCTGATATTTTTTTGCTGATGGTTCCAAAATTAAATGCTGAAATCTAAAGAGAAAATTATACTTACTCTAGTCAATGGGATATGTTGGAGACCTGAGAGGGAAAAAAATCAAAGTAAAGACCAGTTTCCTTCTTTTTTTTTTTTTTTGAGACAGAGTTTCGCTCTTGTTACCCAGGCTGGAGTGCAATGGCGTGATCTCGGCTCACCGCAACTTCCGCCTCCTGGGTTCAGGCAATTCTCCTGCCTCAGCCTCCTGAGTAGCTGGGATTACAGGCACGCGCCACCATGCCCAGCTGATTTTTTGTAGTTTTAGTAGAGACGGGGTTTCACCATGTTGACCAGGAAGGTCTCGATCTCTTGACCTCGTGATCCACCCGCCTCGGCCTCCCAAAAGTGCTGGGATTACAGGCGTGAGCCACCGCGCCCGGCCCGGTTTCCTTCTTTAGCGGAAAAAAAAAAAATAAGAAAGTTAACTTAGAATATTCAGAGTTCTGCAAATCCCACTCTGAGACCACTCTGCAGTGTCACATGGTTCTCTTGAGCCTCATCTCAGTGGATAAAGGTCACTAGAGTTTATTAGACACAGGAAAACATCGTTTACAGGAGACTTCTTCATTGTGTAGGGATTCTGCCTTCAGGCCTGTTCACCAACCGAGAGAATTATGCTTTTCAATCCAGGGCTCTTGGCCAGAACAGCCTTCTCGCTCATTAACTCAGTCGACCAAATGCTTCCTGTGTTTCAACTGGTGGTTCAGAAAGGATCAGAACCTAGTCTTTGCCCTCTAATACCTCATGGCCTAACAGGAGAGAAACAAGAAAGCCAGAATTTATAATATAAGATAATAAGGAGTAAGAGCAGAGCCTTTGGAACCAGACAGACTTAGATCCAAATGTCAGCTCTGCATTTACTAGCAAGTGGCCTATCTTGGCAAGATACAACTTTTTTCTCTAAGTCTTTACTTCTCATTCTGTGAAGTATAACCTCCTGGGGTTATTGTGAAGATTAAATGGTATATTGTAAATAAGGCCCTTGGCATAATCTTTGAAAAATAGTAACCATTCAGTGAATGTAATACACTAGTATAGTAGTGATTGAGGTGTTTATAGGGTGCTATGGGGGCCCAGAGAAAGGAGATGAGAAGAACAGGAGAGAGGAAGGGTTACTCTTGAGAAGTATTTCAGGATGGCAGCCTGCCAAAGGCTATATTTTGAAGAAATGGTTGAAGTCAGTAAAATGAGTGAAGGGAAGGTGAGAATGTTTCAGGCAGGAGGAATAAAATCTGAATAAGCGCAGAGTCCTGACACAGCATAGGGTGTGTAAGGAACTTGGTGTGGTAACAGATGAAGATGGCTTAACATGGAGCAAAAAGATAATTACAGAAACTGAGGCTAGAGGATGACCGGGACCAGGTCGTAGAGGATATTAAAGGTGGGTAAAACTTATACCATGAAGGAGAGAAGAGTTACAGTTTTTAACATAAAATAAATAGACTTCAAGAGCTAAAATTTGAAATGAGTACAAATGATCAAGTGAATGTCCTGTCTTCTGGCGAGCCTGAATGAAAAAACCTTACCCAATGCAACAAACTTAGTAATTAGAAAATAAAACTTAGAGATTAGAAAATAAAAACTGAACCCCAAACTTTTTACTTGGAAATTTAAAAACATACTTCTATATAACTCTTAGGTTAAAAAAAAAAAATCAAAATTGTAAGACAAGCTGTTTAGAAAAGAACTGTGAAAGTACTATTTATCAAAGCCCATCGGATGAAACCAAGTGACACTAAGAGGAAAATGTAGAGGCTTAAATGCATTTATTAGAAAACAAGAAATGCCAAACTGAATGAATTAAGCATTCAGCTAAAGAAACTAGAAAAAGAAAAGAAAGTAAACCTAAAGAAAGTTTTAAAAAGGAATTCAATAAATTAAGAACAAAACACACAATTTTTAGAAACAGACTCAATTAATAAAACCAAGAGCTGTGTTTTTTTAAAAAGGAAAAAATAGATAAACCCTTGACAAATCAGATTTTTTTTAATAAGAGAATGGACAAATAAAGAGCTTTAAGGGCCAGGCATGGTTGGCTTATGCTTATATTCTCAGCACTTTGGGAGACTAAGGCAGGAGGATTGGTTGAGGCCAGGAGTTCAAGACCAGCCTGGGCCACGTAGCAAGACCCCCACCCCTACAAAAAATTTAGGAATTAGTTGGTTATGGTGGCTCATGCCTATAGTCCCAGCTACTTGGGAGGCTGAAGCAGGAGGATCACCTGAACCCAGGAGTTGGAGGCTGCAGTGAGCCATGATCATGCCACTGCACTGGGCAACAGAGTAAGACCCTGTCTTGAAAAAAAAAAAAAAAAAAGCATTAAGTTGAGGGACATAAATAAAAATAATACATTTCAGATTCCAAGACCATATCGTTTATAACTTTATTCTAATATAAATTACTAAAACTTTACCGTATAAATAGAAAGCCTGAATAGATTAAAAACTATGGAAGAAAAATTAAAGATAGTGATAGATTTATCACCAAGCTCAGATGGTTCTGCAAACAAATTCTAACAAACCATCAAGGAACAGGTCCTTACGACAGACACAGAAGGCAAACCTCTCAACTCACTGTAAAGGCTAGTTAACATTATTACCCAAATAGGCAAAGAATGACCCCCAAAATAATTCTAAACCAATATCACCTACAAATACAAAAACCCTATATAAAATATTAGCAAGTGAGTACAAGGGTATAAAGAACTCTAGTAATGTAATTCACTAGGTTAAGATAAAACCATAACTCTGTAGATACCATATCTCTCTAGATAGAAGAATGTAAAAGCATTTGATAAAAATTCAATACATTCCTGACTAAAACAAATTAAAATTTTAAAACCCCTGGAAACACAGGAGTAAAACATGTCCTCCATAATCTATAGCAAACATCATAGTTGGTGATAAACGATTAGAAGCATTTCCTTCAAAATTAGGAATGCAAATTTATACGGTAAAGTTTTAGTAATTTACATTAGAATAAAGTTATAAATGATATGGTCTTGGAATCTGAAATGTATTATTTTTATTTATGTCCCTCAACTTAATGCTTTTTTTTTTTTTTCAAGACAGGGTCTTACTCTGTTGCCCAGTGCAGTGGCATGATCATGGCTCACTGCAGCCTCCAACTCCTGGGTTGCATTCCTAAATTTGTTGGAAATGCTACTATTGCTACTATTAGTTAATCCCATGTTGGAGGTTTTAGCCAACACACTATGGCAAGAAAAGGAAATGAGAAAGGTTAACACTGCAAAAGAAGAAATAAATAAAGCCACCATTGCTGATAAAATTGTCTTTCCAAAAAAAAAGTAGAAATCCATGATTAAAAGCTATTCTAAGTGACAAAAGTTCAGAAAATTGGAATAGTTTCAGTATACTAAAATCAATTCATTTTCTTCGTGTCAGCGGGGATATATTAAATGTAACAAAAATGAAGAGTCCATTCACAATAGAAGCTAAGAAGTATTTGAGAATAACACTAACAAGATCTACATAAAAAAGTAAAATATTTAAAAGTAACTTAAGTTCACAATTTGCAAATTGAATTAAGAAAACTAAGGAAGAACTAGTGAAAATTACAGTCTTACTACTCAAAAGAAACCTCTATTAAAATGTATCAGTATTTTAAAACTGTGTTTTGTCATTTCAAAATATGCCATATTAAGCAAATATAGCAAAAGCAAATTAAGCAAAAAGAAGATAAACCTTCTTTTAAAAGCATATTTGGGGAAAAAAAATATTTGAAGCTATGTTAAGAAACTGGACGGAAGCTATAAAACATGGATTCATCAGGAAGGAGCAGATGTTGAAAAGGAGATTTCTGGCTGGGCATGGTATCTCACGCCTGTAATCCTATTACTTTGGGAGGCCAAGGTGCGTGGATCACTTGAGGTCAGGAGTTTGAGACCAGCCTGGACAACATGGTGAAACCCCATCTCTACTAAAAATACAAAAATTAGCCAGTCTTGGTGGTGAGCTCCTGTCATCCCAGCTACTCAGGAAGCTGAGGCAGGAAAATTGCTTGATCTCAGGAGGCATAGGTTGTGGTGAGCCCAGATTGTGCCACTGCACTCCAGCCTGGATGACAGAGCAAGACCCCATCTTAAAAAAAAAAAAAAGAAAAGAAGAAGAAGAAAAAGAAAAGGAAATTTCTGAGTAGAAGCATGTTAGCAGAGGAAACTTCATTTGGGGAACAGGATTGTTTTGATGTCATGTTCCATCAGCTGACCACACAGATTCCATCCTGACCAGAAAAAGAAAGCCCCTGCAAAGGGCTCTGATCCTTTTGGTTCTGATTCCATCCTCAGTTCTTACCCACTATCTGCTTACCCTTCCTTCCTATTTAAGATCAGAGCAAAGCAAACCAAAAACATGGGTAAGCTGCTTGGTAAAGCTGCCTAGGCCTCCGAGGCAGGGCCCAGAGGATTTTTTGACTGAACCCCCTGTTGTGTTTTCCATTTGTGCTTCCCAGACCGCCCAGGTTTGCTGAATGTGAAGCCCATTGAAGACATACAAGACAACCTGCTACAAGCCCTGGAGCTCCAGCTGAAGCTGAACCACCCTGAGTCCTCTCAGCTATTTGCCAAGCTGCTCCAGAAAATGACAGACCTCAGACAGATTGTCACAGAACACGTGCAGCTCCTGCAGGTGATCAAGAAGACAGAGACGGACATGAGTCTGCACCCCCTCCTGCAGGAGATCTACAAGGACTTGTACTAGCAGAGTCCTGAGCCACTGCCAACATTTCCCTTCTTCTAGTTGCACTATTCTGAGGGAAAATCTGACACCTAAGAAATTTACTGTGAAAAAGCATTTTAAAAAGAAAAGGTTTTAGAATATGATCTATTTTATGCATATTGTTTATAAAGACACATTTACAATTTACTTTTAATATTAAAAATTATCATATTATGAAATTGCTGAGAGTATCTGAAGACTGAGTCTTGTGTGTTTCCCACCCTAGCCTACAGGCTTTCTTTTTCCCCCTTTCGTTTCCTCTTTCCTCCCTCTCTCCCTCCCCTTCCCTCCTTTCCTTCTTCCTTTATTTTTCTTCTTTCTTTCTTAGACATTTTAAAATATATGAGTGGAACTGCTGATAAACCTTTATTCTCAGTAAATTAATTTTTTACCCAATTTACAAGTTTTCAGAACTCTGCATCTGCTTTAACAATCAGAACTAAGAAGGGAAGGAGAACTTCAGAATCAAACTGCTCATAGCTTGTGTTTTGTAGCTTGGATGTGCTAATATGCAGTGTATCCCTGGGCTTACCCAGAATTCAGTCTTCTTCCACAATCCTAGCGGAGATTTTCACTCACCACCGGGATCCTACTCATATACTACCTTACTAATCAATGCTGCTGCACATCCACAGAGCCAATGGCCAGCAACTGAGCACTGCTAGAAACTCTGGGGAAAGCAGAACTGTTTTAAGATTTGGTATCAGGGCCAGGCACGGTGTCTCAAGCCTTTAATCCCCACACTTTAGGAGGCCAAGGTGGATGGATCAATTGAGCTGGTCTCTTGTTCAAGATGCTGTCTCTACAACAGTTTAAATGTTAGCCGTTTGTGATGGCACACACCTGAAATTTCAGCTACTCAGAGGCTGAGGCAAGAGGATTGCTTGAGCCTGGGTGTTTGAGGCTGCAGTGAGCTGTGATGGTGCCACTGCACTCCAGCCTGGGCCACAGAGTGAGACCCTGTCTCTAAAAAAGATAAAAAAAGATTTGACACCTGCCAAAAAGAATTTGCCAATTATAAACTGAGGAGAAAAGATTAATCTTTCTTCATACAGATTCTAATTCACGATGAAATCACGTACCAGGTGAATGTTTTGGAGCCTAAGTGCTGTAAGAGTTTGTAGGAAGTAAGATGAATGAAGACTGGAATCCTAGAGAATGAATCTGTGGATTTGCTGAAGAGGGCCTCAGGGAAGTGTTGGACTGGAATAAATAGGAGGAGAAAGGACAAGAGCTATTTTCTGGTTTCTTCTGCAGCGCAGTTTTGCCATGGTTATTCCTGTCCTCCTCCTTAGGACCACTCTGTCCAGAGATCTCTTACTTTTCTGAACTCAGAGGCTAACTATCCATATTTTAATGGAATGCTTGCCTCTCAAACAAATAGATTCAAAGTTCCCTGAAGGCGGGACAGTCTGTTCATTCTTGGCACAATGAGTAGATTCATTGATTCAATCCACCAAATTCACTTGTATTGGCTACTCATGAACTCATCATACTATGTCTTTGAAGAATGTCTTTCAGGGGTGTCCAACAGAGAGAATACAGTCATGGGTTCTTAGTTTCTGTTTCTGACTGGGCCAATAAAGCCCCTTCCTCATCCCTCTTTTCTGCTTATCACTAGGGACAGAAATTCAAAACCATGGCTTCAGATAGCTAAAAGCCTAAACCAAACCAAACCAAATCACAACAACAAAATGCAGGCTGGACAAGCTTGTGAGTGTAACCTGACTATCTGGAGGCCTCTGCTGTACGGGACGGTTATTTCCACTGACCTGAATTATTTCCCTGCCACTTCTCCCTTAATTTATCTTACTTTATGGTATTTACACTCAGGACGACATAACTGCAGATTTGAGGCTTTCAAGCCAAATTATCAAGAAAGACCTGTTCATCTTTTGCTTAAAAATAACCATATCTCCAAAGAATCAGGTTATAGAAGTGAGTACTGACCCCAGCCCTAAAAATGTAGGGTTTCTAACCCTTCAGTAGAGACCCCCTTCTGAGCCGAAACCTTTAGAATGACAAAGACTGAAGCCATTGTCTAAGTAACATCAAGACATTTGCAAGGAAAGTGACAAACTTAGTCAATTGGCTCTTTTTTTTTCTTCCTTGATGCCAAACATCAGGATATTTTGAAACACTCAGATGACTGGCTAGTCTTCTGCGAAGAGAGTTGATGGTCAGGGATCTCTTGAAAGAGAATGTACAGGCAGTAGACAAGATACAGTCCACCTCCAAGGCGCTCCCCTGTTTACGAGCTTTCTTGAACAAAAAGTCTTTCAGCCCTACTGCCTGGTCTCAGTTCCCACCAGTGCTCCGCAGCCCATCCAAGCCTTTCCACATTATTGGAGCTGTTGCTGCCAATGGAGGGAGGAAGAGAGGCGCTCTCAGCTCTCTGGCACTGATGGTTAGCATTAAATGGCTTTTAAATCCTGGCAGCTTTCAAATTCCCATCTCTCTGACTTTTTCCCTGTGGCTTAGATGATCATTTGCTAAATATTTTACGACACTTTATATTCAGCTTCCAAAGCTCCTGCTCCTTTCTCCCTCTCTCTCTCCCCCAGGATGAATCATACGTTAACGAATGTGTCATCAGTTATTCATAGTACTTTCTCTGGATACAAACACACGTAGGGATTTGTGTTAATAAAAATAGGAAGAAAAGTAACTTTGGTCAAGAGTCAAGAAAGGGTTTCCAGGCTCCCACAAGAGCCCTCCCCCAGCACCTCCCTGTTCCCTTTTCCTTCTTCCCGCTGTGTGTGGAGCCCAGGAACAAAGAAGGGGCACACAGAAGAAGCAAAGCTGCACACCCTGTTTCTCCAGCCATCATAGGAAACTGGGCTGGCCTGAGTTTATAGCTCGTTTTTTACAATGTGGGTGCAGAGCAAGGAGCCTGGGAGGCTCAGGGTCAGAAGAGGTAGCAGCACTAGCTGATGCCACATAGCAAATTTCCAACTAGAGGCCTAGGGAGGAAACCAGAGGGCAGCTCCGCCACCTCCACTAAGGGGCAAAGAGGCAAGGGGACAGAGACGTCTGCAGTGGGCTTCCTTGGTGGCATCTGGACTCTGATGACTTTTTCTTGGCTCCCTCGAGGCTAGAAAGCAGGTATTTTCATACACAGGTCCTCCTTGCTTGACACCGCCTGCTGATGCTGTGGTGCTGATGGAAGGAGCTGGATGAGGGAGGGGCTGGATGTTGGCCTCTGGATACCCATTCCCTTGGAAATACCTAGTGGGGGTGGTGAGGGTGGGGGAGTGGGGCTCCTAATTCTACATCCTGAGAGAAAGAAACAAAGCTTATTTCTACCATGCCCACCCCATTTCTTTCTGGTTACCTTTTTTTTTTTTTTTACCTGTTCCATGCAGTGGTTTGGGTTATGAGACAGGATGACCAAGATGCCCAGTGGTCCCTAGGTGGCCCCCTCCCTACCTTCTGTTCTCCCTCCCATGTCCTGGTTGTTGGCACCAGCCCCTGGCTGTCTCTGCATCATGAACGCTATTGTTGCTTGCACGTCCCCACCCTCACCGTGTGATTGCACCTGGTAGACCCTCCATTTAATGCTGACTGAAAAGAAATAGCAGGGTCTTAAGGGTTCAAAAGATCAAGCAATGTCCCATAGCCCCTCCGCATTCATTAAACACGTAGCCCATACTCCAGTCACGTCTAGCAGTTTATGATGGTGACCGCGACTAGGTCCTGCGCTCAAGGGGGGCACAGTCTGTGGATAAGTAATCACAGCTCAGCGGACACAACTGCCTAGAGAGGTGAAAGGATTCGCAGAGTGTGCACATAAGCCCAAGAGTATGGAATTCTCCATGTGTTCAGAAAATGGCCAGAAGAGGGGCATGGCTGCCGCAGCTCCCAGGCTGAAGTGTGGATGTTGCCAGTCAGTGGCAGATTGTGGGAGCCTTGTCCTCGCTGACGGGGAGGTCTCTCGGTCTGTGTTCATAGCAATTGGGATCCGGGGGGATGCTGCCAGGCAGAAGAGAGGCATGGTCAAATTTGCAGTTTGGAAAGTCAGCACCCCAAAAGTCAACACTCCCCAAAGTAGAAATTCCCCCTACAATGATCTTGATGGTTGCCCAACCTACAGACAACTACGGAAGCCACACGAAGCTCTCTCCCCTCTAAGCCCTTAGGTGATTTCCAGCAGCAGGCCTGGCTCTGCCCCTGGCCTCACACTTACCACATGCTTGTTCCTGCACCCTGGGGGCTCCAGCTCACCTCCTTCCCTTCCACCTGGTCGCAATCTCTTGCCTCAGTCATAGACAGCTTAAGGATGCTGGCCCATCGCCTCTTGGTATCCATTCCCTACCGTTGCTCATACTGACCCAAGCTACAAAGGTCCTCTGCTTTGTTTCACCTTTTCCTTTAATTCGTTAACATCTCATGGTCATTTTTATTTGCATGTATCAAAGGCCGCCTGTCCCATATCTCATGTCCAGAAAGGCCTTGCACTGGTCATAGGCATCAAGAAAATTAGAGGCTGGCCACCGTGGCTCATGCCTGTAATCCCAGCACTTTGGGAGGCCGAGGCAGGCATCACCTGAGGTCAGGAGTTCAGGACCAGCCTGGCCAACACGGTGAAAACCTGTCTCTACTAAAAATACAAAAATTAGCCGGGCATAGTGGTGGGTGCCTGTAGTCCCAGCTACTCAGGAGGCTGAGGCAGAAGAATCGCTTGAGCCTGGGAGGCAGAGGTTGCAGTGAGCCAAGATCTCACCACTGCACTCCAGCCTGGGTGACAGAGTGTCTCCCAAAATAAAAATAAAAACACATATTAAAAACAAAAGAGAGATTATTATATAAGACACTTAGAACTGTGTGTAGCACACAGTATATGTTCAATAAATAGCAGCTATGACTGGAGACAGCATCCTGGGGTGGACTTTACTCTAATTTGGGTTAAAAGTCTAACACAATTTATGGTTCTAGAGCCATATGGCTTTGGCCAATCTCTCAATCTTTCTAGGCCTTAATTGCCCTCATATGTAAAGTGGGATAATACCCACCTTAGAGGACTGTTATGAGGATTAAATGTAATAATGGTTGTAAAACACTTCACAGGGTTCCAGGCACATCCTAGCCAGTCCTAAGTGCTGGCTGCGGGTAACGTTATTGCTGCTGTGGTTTAAGTGCCCCTCATTTAGGGGGGCATTCTGGGCCCACGGG